AATGCTGGGTGCTCACCCTTGCAATTTATACACAAAGGCGCAGCAGTACAGTTTTCAGAATCATGGCCAATCTGTGAGCATCGGGCGCATGTGAGGCTGCCACGACAAGACGTCTTAGAATGGCCGAAACGCTGGCATTGGAAGCATCGCATAGGGTTGGGAATATAAGGTCTTACAGGGACAATTTAAATATCCGGCCTTATATTTCTTAGGCAGATCAGGCGTGTTGAAGGTAAGGATCACGTGTTTCGTATCGATCAACTTACCTTCCTTACGCATCTTGATCCGCCTAGCACCGCAGACATTTTGGTCAGACAGCTCGGATGCGATCTCTTCTTCAGAAGCCTACAGAAGGTCGAATTCCGATATTACACCGCGACAATAATTCAGTGTCTTATGTGCTGTTACAGTGACATTTGCTTGCCCAAATTTGGTTACTTGAAGTAAGCAGACTGGGTGGCCGAAGTTGTATCAATAATAAAGTCTCCAGAGCGGAGACGCTTTATATTTCTCAGCTCACCAATACAAAAATGAATGTATTTATTAAGAAAGGAGACATCTTCTGCAGCTCGCCTGAAGAACTAGAGCCAACAAGGAAAGAGAGACAATTGTTAGGATTATTCGCATTTGCAACGATACGTACTTTTTTAACAGTACACTTTTCAGAAGAATTGGTGCTGGGAGCAACGTGACTGACCTCAAAGTCTTTAATTAAATATATATGAGAATTAGCCATACTAAAGAAAGAAGTTTCGTGTCCGACCGCCCCACCCACCACGGAGCCCAACATGTGAGGACGACTAAGGTGCCTCCCGTTTAGCTGAAGCAGAGTCCAAAGCAGTGTGTTGAGGACAGTACCTCGCCCCTCAACTACAGGACCTCCTGGACACGGGTCTCACGCACTGCAAATAATGGGCAGTTTCTCGAAAACAGAGACAAAGATGCTTGTCTCCGTGATGAGCCCCAAACTGTAGAAAGAAACAACAAGGGAGAAGGGAAGGGAAAAAGTTCCAGCCAGGAGGAGAGGAGACGGGAAAGAGGATAGATCACTGGGGCTCAAGGATCGTGACACCCGTCTCACCAAGAAGATGATCCCCTGAAGGGCTAGGGATTGCCACACGCGTTGTCACAAAAGTGAGCCCCTGAGGGGTACGGTGATCTGAAGAACATAGCAATGAATTGATGTCTTTCCCTCTTTAATATGCTAGATATTAATCATATTCGTTGTCTTTTGCTACATACAAATACCGACATTAGATCAATCAGTTGGAACGTTACATTTGTACCAAAAGACCTTCAATACGACAACAAGCAACAGCATATTGAAATTGTAACTTCTTTTACAGATAATTCAGATAAGGAAGATGAATCTCAACGTAGAAAATTAAGCAAATCTCCTAGACAAAATAAAGATGTACCGCCTGAAAGTTACAATATAACTACATTCATAGCACAGTCAGAAGAAGCAGCAGACCCAAGATTGTAAAGCGACCCATAAAGCGTGTTCAGGTGCCAATAAGAAAATATCGAAACAAGATAAAATTAATGTTTTAAAGATGAATTGCACATGATAAAACCATTATAGATTGCAACAGTGTTTCAGATAGCGAAGGAAATATTTTCCTTTATAAAGCTAGACTGATTGATCAAGAATACCAACAAATATGGACAAATGCAAAATGTACAAATACGGACGTGAGTATGATGTATTTGCTACTGCAGCCAAGCCAGCTACTTGGAGAATGCTTCTCATTATGGAAGAAAATAGAAAAATGCCTATGTGACACTACATCCAGACATATTTAAAATGGTGATTTAACGCATGAAACAATCCTCCGGTTTTACAGAAGATGATTAAAATAAAGCTTGTAAAGAACTGGTAAGGACACAAGCAAGGAGCAAATGAATGGAATAGAAAACTTAATGAAATTCTAAATAAATGATTTTCACGAAACCAAAATTATTCTTGTTTGTATACCAAGTAGGATAAAGAAAGACATGACTGCATTATTGTACATGAAGATGATATAGGCATTGCTACAAGAATACAAATTTTATTTGAAAGTTTTGAAATCGAAATTAATGAATATTTTACAATGAAAAATTTAGAAAATCTTCATTACTATTTAGGTATACAGTGGTGGCCAAAATTGTGGACATTTTTGGAAATTTTTATGTTTTTGAACCGTTTGGAAATTTTATTTTTTTGTTTTTATGCCTATAGAAAAATGTTACGTTTCGCAAAATGCAACTTGTGTATATATTTTAAAGAGAATTATTACTGAATTCAATACAAAACACAAAATTCAATTATTGGAAATACAAAAAAAGTTATATATACTTATATAAATAAAAACACAATTAGGAAGTGGTTGTAATGTCTAGCTTCCTGGCCAATCAGTTCTGTTGTTCTGAGAACCAATCAAATATTAGTAACTGCCAGTGAGAAGATGACATCATGTTTACACTTGAAACAATTCATTTTTGCTTTGTTCTGTAGAAGGAGGACCTGTTTTTATACATGCAATGACAAGTAGGAATTTTGTAAAAAATTTTAATATTGTCAGAAGCAATGACATCAAATAAAAGAGTACATTGGACACTAGAAAGAGATGTATATTATGTGTTACGAAAAAGTGGTCTTTCCTATGTGAAATTGCAAGACAGGTGGATTGTTCATGACTACATCTGGAGTCCGAAAGTTTTGTTTATGATATCAGGAGACAAATTCAATAAAAAAACAAATAAGGAAAAGGCCGAAAAAGGTTGCACCAATTATGATGACAGAAGAATAAAAAGACTATGTTCTCCAAGATAGAAAAATGTCATCAGCGGCCATCAGAAGTGATCTGAATGATGTGGTGTTTCTGTCGTTCAAGAAGAATCAGGAGAAGATTAACAGAGTTGGACCTGAGATGAATTCCACGAAAAAAGCCTTATCTTAATTTCAGCAACGAAAGAAAAGACTACAGTGGGCAAGGAACACATTAATTGGAGAGATGATCAGTGGTCACAAGTTATGGAGTGATGAAATAAGATATCGTATTCGGTAAAGATGGGCGAAAGTATGTAAGACGTTAGAATAGGAGAAGAGCTACATCCTGACTGCATTCAAGCAATGCGAAGAATCCAGTTAGTGTTGATTAATATGCATGGCAGCAGATGGTATTGGTGCGCCTTCATGTCATCGAAGGGACACTGAATGCCAGAAAAAAATTGACACGATTCTAGAACCAAAACTTCTACCTTCCATCAGAGATCCCTTTCCCAAAAATGCTCGTTTATTTTTCAGAAAAATTCTGCTCCTTGCACATGGCCAAATATCAAAGAGTGGTTTCGTACAAAGAGATTAAATTTTGTCAGGCAGGAAACAGTCCTGTGTCAATCCTATCAAAAATTTGTGGCAGTTTGAAACTCTTGTCGAATGAGGCGCCCATCAATAAAAGGGAATATTGAGGCTATAATTGTTTCCTGGCATATGTAAAACGAAAGAAGAGCTTAAAACTTTGTCAGCTCAATGAAACGTCAATGTGAAGCTGTAATCAAAAATAAAGGGTACCTTACTAAGTACTGATAACTCACTGCAATTCACTATCTAATGTATATCGATAACTATTATCATTTAAATTTTGTATTGCAAATAATGAATTTTGTGTTTTTGAATTCAGCAATAAATTTGTTTAAAAATGATATATCACGTTTGCATGTTGAATGTAACATGTAAAAGTTCAAAAACATAAAAATTTTTAAAAGTATCCACAATTTTGGCCACCACTGTATATTTTGAAAGTGACAATCATGTAAACTTCTACATCAACAAATTAAGTTTTATATTTGGAAAAAGCTGAAAAAGTATCACATGATTGCTTGGAAGACCTTTTCGACTGATCCAAGACACTATAAGCAAAAGACAGATTCGAAATCTTTCAGTAAAATTGAGGAACATAAGAATGTAATACAATTGTTATTCTATCTAAACAGTGAATAGTAGATTAGATTGAGCAGTTGGTATTTCCATCCTACCCAGAAAACTGTCATAAGCTACCAGGGCGGCGTTAAGCATTTTGCCGTCCTGTGCAATTTCTGCAGCTCTGAAATACTGCCACCCACTGCCTTCTTAAATTTTGAAAACTTTCCTGCCCCTAAACTCTACCGCCCGGTGAGACGACACCGGCTCTAGCAACGACTGTGAAACATACTGAAGCGAATTGGAAGGCAATCAAAAGACACTTCAGATACTTGATATTAACTACGGATCTTAAATTGCATTTAAGAAATGTAAGCAAAAAGGAAAACAACTCCCTCTTATGCCACTTAGACACAGGCTTAGACTCTGTTATAGGAATCTAACATTTTTGCATATCAATTCAGTGCTTTCCATGGAATTGCAGAAAATAACTGTGGTTGACTTTGTCATTGAAGCGGAATTTATAGCTTTAGCTGAAGTAGCAAGGACAGCTAAACTTTTGCAAGATTTTTATGAAAAAGAAACTACTTGTATTTTCTATGAGGATAATCAAAATTGCATTAAAATGTTAAATAGCGATCGAGGCATAGTAGAGTTAAATATGTAGACATTAAAATCATTTTGTGAAGGACTTTATTAATGTTAAAAATTATGAATTTCGATATCTTCAGACCGAAAAAATTATTGCAAAGCAGCTAGGGACAAACAAACTAAACTTTCAGGCAATACCTTGTGTGATTTAAAGATTTCGATTTCATTAAATCTTAGTATGCCACTCGAGGCAAGTCATTTTAATTTATTAAGGCTTAATCAGTGAGAAAGGGTGTTGTTAAGGATACTCCTCCAAACTTATTTAGGTTGTAATGATCACTATGATGTACACTTGTGCTTTTCTGTCCACCTTTATAAATGTTATACTGTTTTCACAGCACATGAATTAATGTTATAGTTGTCAGCTAATTGTAACATCCTTCAGTCATCAAAAACTAATTCATTACCTTCATAACAATAAAATCATGATTAGTAATTTATATAAACTGTAATTCACACTTTATTTCTGACAATTCAATATTATTACCACCGTGTTTAGTTATTAATGTAAGAAATATGAGGTGAAATGACATAGTATCCTATATATGCAACTACTGCTGTGGAAAATCTCTTGAACTTCCTTTAAACGATCTGTCTCTATTCATCAGCTTCCTCCAACTACACTCCAGCAACTGCAAACTGTGTTTCTATAGCTAATGAAATAATTGTTCCTACTACATTAAATCATCTGAAGGGATGAAATATTGAAGAAAAGCTTACATCATAATCAAAGAGGTCATATCCCATGTTAAAGCTTATTTGTAGAATGCACAATACAGTTTTCGGGATTTAATATATCCAAAAAAAATATAATACATATTAATATATATAATACAAAAATATACATAAATTTACACTTTTCTAAAATTAATTCATGTAATCATATTCATGACTAGGTTATTCACTGAATGTCTGTGAAACATGGAGTCCATTATAGAGTAACGTCGAATTTACTGCCATATGCTTAACTTTGGGGAAGGGGAATGTATACATTAAAAAAAAAAAAAAAAAAAAAAAAAAAAACAATATTAGTAAACTTGGCAATTCCATAAATAGATATCAACTTCCAGAGATTGCAAATTGTACAGGCAGTTAAAAAAGAACTCAAGATATTTAATGTTAAAACAAAACATATTACAATACTTAGAAATACGGCATGTAAACAAAGTTTTCATCAATAACAGTATAGAATAAATCAATCACTTTTCTATCATACACATAAAATCACAAAAGTTAATAAAAATGTTATAAAATATATACATATATATGATATTATTTAAATACAACATAACAATGATATCATTTAAAATTCCATGCTTGTAAAAACGAGCATGAACTTAGTATAGGTAGGTACCTTATCAATAAAATTTTTAAGTTGTTATACAAAATATTGAACATGTAAAAGGCATTTTAATGCACATACACATATTCTTTATTTTCAATACTTATATAAAAAAATCAAAACATTATGAAAATACATTCTGTAGTTAAAATATGCATTATATGATTTAAAATTATCATTATTTTTTTAAACAGAAAAAATGAAATTTCATTAAATCAACTTTTTTTTTTTCATATTTAGAAGTGTTATAAAGTTAACTATACCTTAAAACCTTTAAGAAAGTATTAAACTTTTAAAATTTCATTAATAATTTCATATTTCACTCATTCATATTTTAAAATTTGCTATTCCTAAAATAATAAGGAAATATAAAATTATGTACAAAATATAAAAAACAAAGTAACAAAACAAACAAAAAAGAAACTGCATAGAAAACAAAAACATGGTTCTAATCATTATGATTACCACAATTGTATTTTTTCCTCATTCTAATTAATATTTTCTTAAATTATTTCACATTATGAAGTTGAGTACTATGATATTTTGCACTTGTATCCATGTATCACAGTAACTTTATATATATATATATATCTTTAAAACTATGTAATTATAATTACAGCTGATTTTCTGTTTGACTGTGATGTCTGTCAAGCACTTTTTATTATAGTAATTTAATAAGAAAAAATTACTGCATATTTTACTAAATACATCCATAATATTATTGACTACATATTTTCAAAATATATTTGAAAATGATGTACATTTCCTGAAATTTCACGTTTCAGAGAATGTCAACCTCTAAATTAGCACTTGCTGTACTCTGAGATCACTAGGCATCAATTCAAAGATTGCAATGAATGATAAGTGGAAGTGATGAAGAGTTATCATAAATGCTTGTTACATAGAAATAAAAAGATCAATAACTTTAACATGAAAATTGTTCAGATACTTTTTTTAATCGGTATATGGAATAACAATACCATTCTAATACCAAAAAAAAGTTTCAGCTCGAATAACTTGTAAACCAAAGACTTTGCTGACTAATAAAAAATAAGATATAAATACAATGCAAGTCAATACTTTGCATGCAGACTTTAAAGAATTAATTTCACTTCAACAGAATCCACATGAAAGTCCCATATGAAATTAAAAAAAAATAAATAAATAAATAAATAAATAAATAAAAAATTATCTTATGCAAATGAAAAATTCTATCATATTTTAAAGCATTTTTTTCACATAAAAAATTTGATTTGTTATTTATTTATTTTTCTTAGATTATATGAAATATTAAGAATGGTAAATGAGAAAATAAGTGCATTTTTAAGATTCATTCAAATGGTAGTTTTAAAATCGTAAAAGGTCTATGCTGAACGTTGTTGCAAAGCAACCAGACTTTGCTACATCACAAAATCTGGTTTAAGGATTTTACCTAAAAGCTTTAACTTTTCAGCTTTATGCCAACACGATATAAGAACTACCAATCACAGCAAAGCAATGATTGGTCACCGGTTTTGCATGGTCAGCTACACATTTATGCATGCACAACTTTCTATTCCCTGAGTAGCTATGGCTTAAACACTAATAAAAAGTATGCATTAATGATTTTCATTCCTTAAACCACAAAGCTTTAAGATGGCAAAACCGTCGTCTGAATGAAGCCTTAGAAATCATACTTATATAACTCACTTGCCAAAATGAAAAACAAATTGTTTTTAGAAAAATGTTTGAATATCATAAATAATATACATTTTCAGAAAAGTATATTATTTCCGATTATTATTACATCTTTTTGAATAATACTTTAAAAAAAAAATTAGGTAACTATATTAATGGAGATAATTTCCCACTTACTGGAAGATGATGGAAATGAGTACTGTATAAGCAAGTTTTACTTTTTGTTGACATTAGAGTTGATAAGTAATAGAAAGACTGAAAATGTGAAACATAGGTAGTGTTATTCTGGGAAATCTGAATAGAAAGAACCATATTCTTTAATATATATTGTTCTTCTAAAGAAGTATGATCTAATTTGGAGGAGGGCTAAGCAATACAAACTCAATATGAACTGGCCAAATGGTATAGTGGTTAGTGATGCTGACTGCCATATTGATGGGTCCGTATTCAATCTCAGGAAAGGAATGGATGTGTGGCAAGGAGAGACTCAAAATACTGGTGAGCTGGAAATCCTCTTGAGAAGCTGGCGGTAGGGAAAGACAGGCGAGAGACCCTCGGACTGCACCCCAAGGGTTCTTCCTCGGAAATCCATTTGGGATGTAACCTCAGTGCAAAGCCTGTCGATACTTAATATGCCTAGTGGGATGCACAGGTGCTGGCCTAGCTTCAACCTGTCTCAACAAGAGCAACAATGAATGACTTTCTCCTTGGGGAAAGAAGTGAATGCTTTAATGAATTTCTGCAAAGAATAGCTAAAAACGCTAAGTGATACAGCTCTCAACAAAATTAACTTTAAGTTCCTTAACATATTTGTTAGAGATATTAATATCAACGAATATACAAAATAACACAGTAGGAATAGAATACAGGAAACACTGAATTCAAAAAAAAAAAAAAAAAAAAAAAAAAAAGCTTCACCGGTTTTGTTAAAAATAATAATCATTGCAAACGGATAAAAAACAACAGATATTTGCATAATCAACACTTTACACAATATATTTATATTTCTGGATATACAATTAAAATAACAAAAATAAATTAATAATTCCATAATTTCTAGAGCTTTTTAAATTATTATTTTAAAATCACCTATGTATGATAACATACATGTCAATGATTATGAAGAGATTAATTTTTAGATTTTTCACAAATATGCAGAAAGTTTATGGGGATCTACGCAATTATTTTTTCGATAATTAACCGAGATTGTAATAATAAATATCCTTAGCAAAAAGTACAGCATTTCAATATGCTAAAAAATTACAACTACTTTCATTTCATTAAAACTTCTAACACAATTCAAAAAAATAATTAAATTTCAACCAGATTTAACAGATTAGAAATGAGATTTTTGGTATTATTTCGAAAGAGTTCTGCTACTTTTTGTCCTTTACTAGATACAAAATCTGTAATTAATAGTTAGTATTTTAAAGAAGATAACTTGAATATCACATAGAAATAGAATAGAAAATAGAATTTTGAAATGTAATATCTTATAATGCTAAATTATATGAAAGCTTATAATACAATTAGATCATATATAAGTCAGACAGAAAAATATATACTCATTATTAGAAACAGGAGAATTAAAATTTCCACTTATCTAGTTTGATTATAAACACAGGCAAATACATTTAAACCTACTTAAATATACTTATATACACATATGCAATAAAAAAATAATTTTGATTTAAATTTGTGATATATTTTGCATGTTACAAAATTACACCGATTACAAAAGTGATTTAAATGGATGATAAATGTTATATCATAATAAAGAATTCCAGAAATAAGTAGATAACAGTACTTTCCAAATTAAAGTTTGAACAGCACTCAAATAAACATATCAAATATTTTTCAAATAAAAAAATTGTATATGAATAAAAATGCATGAAACATACATCAGTTCAAAAAATCATACCTGTAAACTAACATCAACAATTACATTATCACACTAATATCAAAGATTGTGCACATAATAAGAATTTAGATCATCATGTAGTATACAATCAAGCACAGTTAATTATTTATTTCTTAGATGACACCATTAAAATTAGTTGCTATTTTAATCATCTCTTTTACTGGCATTTCAGTGCATGTTCAAATTTAAAAGCAGTGCTTTAGAGGCATCATCTAAAAAATAATTGACTAACTAAAAATAGCAGATTACATACTACATGATTACAAGAATTTATGGCTAATCTTTGGAATATGGTAACAGGTAGTTTGGCGACATTTTGGTAAGGCGATAAAGGTTACTAGCTAGGACTTTAGCAGGGTACATGGATAAAGTGCTACTTTGGTAGACAGTTGCACGGATTTTTGGCGATTTACGTTGGCGCGATTTTTACAAATGTTAGCCATCTTGAAAAACGCCGTTTTTACACATAGTAAAGTATTTGAAACTTAAAATAAATAAATAAATAAATAAATAAATAAAAAATAAAAATAAAAATAAATAAAATAAATAAATATTGTTAAAAGTAATGGATAAATTTTTTGTTGAAAATGTCGTTTTTTAAGATGGCAGGCAAGTGTAAATAAATACGTTTACTATGAGTATAAAATACTAAAGTAAGGTTATTATTACTTTCATATAGCAAAGAAGAGAATAAAAACATTGGGCCAACGTTTAATTAGATAAAAATATTACTGAGATTGAATATCGAATTAAAAACCATCATACAGTCAAAAGTCGTTAATCCGGACTCGTCGGGACTTTGGCGATTCCGGATTATAGATCATCAGTTTAAATTTCGTAAGATGGCATGCAGAAATTCTAAAATTAAAAATATGAAACCGTAATTTATGAAATAAAGAACAATTATGATCTAAAGGGTATCAAAATTTACAAAAAAAAAAAAAAAAAAAAAAAAAAAAAAAAAAAAAAAAAAAGCTTAATATTTATTTACTTTATTAAACATTTCTTTCAATGTAAGTTGTTTAAGTTGCTTCGTTTTATGTGATAATACTTTCTCTTTAATTCTATAAACAGACATAATTTCTTGTTCAGTTACAAAGTTCCGCTGTTCAAGTCCCGTTAATTGCTGTTCCGAGAATACCGACTAACTTGCCAAACGAAATTTTTTCGTTTTCACTAACCTCTCTGTCACATTCTTCATGTCTTTATCCATTTTTTGCAGCAATTCCACTTTTTGTTTGTTGGACATCGAAACATACTTTCATTTTGTAGATCCTTTGGAAGTAGCATCGGAAATTCTATTTGACATAATCGAAAGTTCAAGTTTACTTTTATAAAATTGCTCTTACAGTCTGCAAAAAATAATAAGCGCGATCCAATTCGAAGATTAAGGAACAACACAATCATTAACATTAACTGAAATAGATAATTAGATAATTTTAGCCTACACCGTTCGTTATACATTAAACGCGCAGGCGAAAACGTATTCTGCACTTGTGCACACGCATATGCGCAGTAGTCAAGGTCTTATGCGCACGTGTAAAACACCTGTGCGCATGTGCCAACGCGGCGCATGTGCAGAAAGATTTTAGCTTTGAGGTCCGGATTATGGGTGTCCGAATTAACGACTTTTGACTGTACCAACATTTAAAAGAATTAAAATATTATTAAATTCAAATACTTTAAAATAAGTTATATAGAATATAATTAACATTAAAACATATGGACAATAATTATCTCAGCAATTTCTGAAAATAGTGTATTAATTTTTTTAACAAAAATTGAAGTATACAATTATAAAATAAAAGAAAAATTTGTACTTACATTTTTTTGAGTATTTAACCTGCTGTTTATTGATAAGTACCACAAAAAAACCAGAATTATAATTTAGATAACATCTTTGAAGGAATTCGAAGATATGAATTAAATTTTAAAATGGCGCGGGAGCGGTAATGCACAAATATGTCAGTAACCAATCAGGGAGCTGATTATAGCTCGTTAATGCACAAATATTCTATAATCAATCAGAGAGCTTATTACATATCACGGCTAGAAGTTACAATTATTTAAATAATTCATGCATAATAAAATCATTTTTTTAAAAAAACTGCAAAATTAAATTGTATTTTAATATTTAAGAGCCATAAATAATGTTTAAAACATTAGATTAAATTTATACATATTAAAATGAATTACTTTTAAAGTAAGGTGATGTCATTGATTACATCATCCACAACATAAAATTTCATAAAATATGATAAACAATAAAATTTTTATTTCAAATAAAAATGCAAAATTAAATTGATTTTTAATATTTAAAAGCCATAAATGATATTTTAAATACGGAATTTATGCACAAAACGCATTATTTTTAAAATAATATGACAACAAAGTATCGGTTACCATAAATAACTTATCCAGCAATGGGTTTACCATAAGTTGTATTACTCGCCAAAATCCGTGCAACCATCTACCAAAGTAGCACAAGAGTGGGCGCAATGCCATTTTTGTGCAATTCTGGGATGTTTTTTTTTAAGTGAAAATAGGTCGGCGTGTACATGGATACCATGTATGTGCAATTCTTAAAAACGCGGCAAGCAATTTGTGATTCTGCACTTTCTCCCAATTTCGCACCTAATCTTAGCCATGATTAAGCACTGTTGTTCCATAAAAGTTCTAGCATAAGTGTAATTCAGCTAGCAGATTGTTGGAAAAAAATGTTGAAGGAAAAAAAAATGCCTTTACTTCGTGAAAACAAAATGGCGTCCAAACAAAAACTAGCAGGTTGCTGTAGCAGGGTTGGTCGCCAAAAAATCGCCAAGTTACCATAATCCAAAGATTAACCGAATTTACTTACATACATTGAAATCATGCCACTGATAGCATAGGAAGAGTTTAAAAACTTGATATTTTGAATAAAACTAAGTTATGACTTTTCACATAAATCTCACTTCATTGGAAAGCACCAATATAGATATATACATAAAATCGAGAAAAAACATTTAATTAAAAAACAGCAGAGGAATGGAAAGAGTGACATATGTATTATTTCTAGCAATATGTATCAAGAAATTATATATCTTCCATTTCTTCATATAATGTTAAAACCTTAGAGGCTATTAAGGCACTTTTTTCTTAATATCACCATATTTTCCCATTTTAGTCAGCTATTTTTTCTAGAGGTAATAAGGGAAAATACTGATACACACATGCATGCATATATATGATGTCTTTCTTTAAATGTCAAATATCAGCTTAATCCCTTGGTTACTTTCTTAGAGATTAAACAATGAATAACTTATGAATTTAACCATTACCTGCAGAATTTTTATTTAGGCAAGAAATGATGGGTTTTATTACAAAATTATATTAATAAAATACTACTAGTTAAAATATGCTTCATTTAAATTTCACTGTAAAATTACACACAATTTGATTAAATTTCAAATTTTCCCATAATTTATCTAAAATATTCTTTTCAAATTAAAAAATAATATGCTTAATAAAAAATTCCACCAACCAAATGCCATGTAACAAGAACACCATTTGGAGATATAAATGCAGCAGCAGCCATTTCTTGCTGAGAATTATCCCCACCAATTAAATCTGAATCAGTTAAATTTATCCTAGTTACAATACATTTCTCAATATTATTAGGAAATAATATTTTGTTTATTTCTCCAATTATAGCTTTTCTGATATGCATTTGAACTTCATCTACAACAAAATCAATACCTCTGCAATTTGCTAAAAAGTTTGAAAATTCACAAAAAATATCTTTACAGGATATATTAACCTCATATGAATTTAATATATCCTGAAGTTTATCCGTTGCAAGAATATTTCTTTCTATAACACTTAATACTGCTGATTTTAAAGGCTGTGTTTCAGCACTTGACTGCATTTTAGGTAAAAATCTTGCAATTTCTAATTTAAAATGCATGCAAAATACAGATATCATGTTAAACATTTTATTTATCGTTAATTTAGAAAATTTAGATTGTGTTTGGATGTGTTTTTCCAAAACAATACTGAGACATACTGCTAGACCTTCTAAACCATACTTCTCATAGGTAACACAATTTAGAAGTGGATTTATAAGTAATGGGCACACTGGTCCATGTAAACCAGATGGAAAAAGAGACATCCAGTTTGTATCAGCAGTAGCAATTCGTTTAATATATGATGCTGGATCTTTATACGGATGCTCTATTCTTCGAAGATCACATTCTATAGCCTGGCCAACAGAAGTTAACTGAAGTATGTCATCATGATGGAATTGAAGTTTCTCCACAGAGTAATCAATACCTGTTCCAATTCTGTTGTATAAACCAATGTCATAAAGCCATTCCTCAAACAGAATAGCAGGATGCTCACTTTTTTCTTTTTTGTACAGTAAATGAAGTAGCCCAAAAAGAAAACGAAATTTCCGAGACTCAGATCTTTCCCATTTTTCTCCATTGGTGAACGAACATTCACATCGCGTTCCAGCTGGTGGTCTGGTGTACTGCTTTATGATATATAACATCCATTCACGTGGATCTTCTGAATCAGAAACACGCTTTATAAAAGTCCATAAGCCTTTGCACCACTGAAATGCAATCGACCACCAAAGACTCTGAGACAATGAAACACTCCGCAGACGAGAACACGTATTTCCAAAATGCAATAAATCAAACGGACAAGTTATAAATGTGCAAATATTATGAAGAACCAAATCTGGGAGCTGCAGCAAGTTACACTTTGAAGCCATATATTACAAACATAACAAAACGTATAAACAAAAAAATGAAAGAGAAATTTATTTTTAACATACATATCCTAAAAGCACGTTATTATGCAATCTTCGAACATAATACAGCATCATTGTTATATTTAAAAAAAATTGTTCACTAATTTTTTGCAGCCAGGCAAGTGTCTTCAACATCATAAAGTGGCGATAATAATACATATATGAAGTTAAGTAAGTCATTTAAGTTATGTTTGAAATAAAAATTATTGTTATAATAAATGTAGTCTATCGTATTGCAGAAACATAAGTTCATCCATAACATAATTAAACAAAAGTTCTATTCCCCTCCCCCCCACAAAATCGTACACTGTTCCACCTTGGTTCACTATAGGAGCTATGTCTTTTAACCTGTTATGGAAATAAGCTGTTTAACTTCTGGTGGTAACGCTAATCCATTAGGAAAAAATAAATCAGTTCAAAATTAATTAATTATTTTTAGATATAGTTTGAAGCATATAATTAAGAAATTAATTTTTATGATAATTATTTTCTGTTCAAATGCATTTAAATCGTAATAATTAACCTGTTTGAGTAAATATTAATCCTTTTTCTGTTAATTGAAGATTAAAATTAAAATATTTAAAAATTTTTAAGTAAATAAAAAAGTTTTTAATTTTACCTTATTTTTTAAAGTAAAGCAAAATTTGATACGTTTTAGTTTCCCAAATTTAGAATTTATTACTGTATTTTCGCTTAATAAATGATAAATTTAACTAAAATTTACCTTTATATTTTTTAATAATATATTTTGTATTATTTTCTGAACTAGTTTTCTGAAGTTAAGCTTGTCTTCCTGCTCAACTTTACTTAATGGAGTCTGTTCTGTTTACTTCTGTTATTATGCATAGAAACCGAATGAATCTCCATCTATGTTAAATAAAATATTTTACAAACTGTATTTTATACATTACAGTATAATGAAGATTTCTCATTATTCCCTGTGACAAAATATACTGTTTCGCTTTATATTGTTATAATGTAGAATGATAAAAATTTTTACATCTTGTTTAACTAGCCGATTATAATTTAACTGTTTGTTATGTATAAATTTGCGACTTCTTTCTGTTCCTAACAAGAATTTAGTCATGAGTATGAAAATAATGCAGAATTATCCGTACATTATGCAAGTTCCTAATGGAGGTGAGCAAAATTTTAAGAATTTTGCTTTTAATAGTTTGCATTATGAGAATTGTATTTGTAAAAGGCTGGAAAGTACAGAAATTTACAATAAAAGACTTGAAAATTCAGATGTATATAGTAAGAAACCAGAAAATTCAGAAGCATATAATAAAAGAACTGAAAATTCTGATACTTACAGCAAAAGACTTGAAAACTCTGATGCTTACAATAAAAGACTTGAAAACTCTGACATATACAATAAGAGATTAGAAAATGCTAATGCATACAGCAAAGGAATTCAGAACAATCTGAATAAAAAACATTTCTTAACAGGTTCTTCCAATTCTCTTCCCAAAATGAATCTATGCGATATATGTAAAAAGAGCTTTTCGACAAAAGGCAACCTTCAGAATCATCATGTTGTTCATAGTGGGCAGAAACCACATGAGTGCTCCGTATGTAAAAAGACATTTTCTCAGCGAAGTACTTTGGGAAAACATTATCTTATTCATACTGGTGAGAAACCACATGTTTGTACGGTGTGCCAGAGGGGATTTCGACAAGCTAATAATCTTCGAATCCACTTCCTTACACACTCTGGTGAAAAACCTCATTTATGTAATATTTGTGAAAGAGGATTTACCCAAAAGATTGCTCTTCAGAAACACATGTTGACACATACTGGTGTTAAACCCCATGAATGCAATGTATGCAAAAGACGTTTCACTACTAAAGGTAATCTCCAAAAACACTTCTTGACTCACACTGGTGAAAAACCTCATGTATGTGGTATTTGCAGTCGTGGCTTTTCTCAAAAAATAGCTTTGAAGAAACATCACCTTACACACACTGGAGAGAAACCACATGTATGCAGTGTGTGTAGTAAAGGTTTCACAACTAAAGGTAATCTGAAATCCCACTTTAAGCGTCATACTAGAGAAAAGTCAGGCTTGTCATCATCTATTGCTCATTCAATTGTAGTACCTGCTTCGATAGCACAATCACTATTGGTACCAGCATCTATAGCACAATCAATTTTAACATCTGCACCTTCACAAGCACAGAATGTCTCGACATCACGTGCTCAGTCACATGGTGTAACAACTTCCATGACCCAGTCACAGACTGTGCCCACATCTTTAGTTCAGTCTCATTCTATTTCAACCTCCTTAGCCCAATCACATGAGGTTGCTGCATCACAACCTCGTGTTTCAGTATCATCTGTTGGGCAGTCACTTGTTGTTCCAGCCTCAGTTGCTAGAGCTCTAGTACCAACATCTCATGCCCAAGCCCTTGGTATACCACCATCTCATACTCAATCTCTTGTCCCATCTTCTCATGCCCAGTCCCTTGTAGTTCCAGCTTCCCATGCCCAATCTCATGCAGCACCAACATCTCATACACAGTCTCTTGTAGTACCTGCATCACATGCACAATCACATATAACATCTCCTCATATACGTAATGGAGAGAGTTGTAAGGGTCAACATATTACTGTCTTATAAAATAAGAAAAAGTATTTCGACTCGCTTTGTACACGTTGTTTTACAAATGAAGTAAATTTGGCAAATTGCCTGGTGATAGTTATCACTAAGAACTGTTTATTAACTTTTTATAAACATTTCTTCTTACAAAATTAAAATAATTTATTTCCATTTTAAAATTTAAATTTGTGCATTTTTTTATGCTCATTGAATGAGTTTCACTGAGACATCTAGTTCATAGTTCCTCTGTATTTCAATAAATACAGAATTTAAGAGTAGTTGGATTGTTTCTGCACTAGTTTAAAATCATTTTTAATGCTAGGCCCTATTTTAATTTGTCATACTGTGCCAAAATGATTATATTATAAAGTAACTTGCTATAATATTTTAACATAAGGTGCAAGTTTGGTGTGTTGTTATCTAAATGCTGAGCAATAGCAATGTTTTAATTTGTTATTGTGTTACAGTAGCAAAATTTAGATATTTAATATTTTTATTTTGCAGTATTAGTTAATGATTTTCAAATGCTGTCAATTTGGCAGCATAGTACTTTGGTGATTAATTTCAACCTAAGAATTCAGTCTATGCAAAACTAATTTGTTATTTTCTTTGCATATTTCTTGTAGTTTGACTCTGACATTGATAGCATTTTGACAAATATATCAGAAATTATATATTTTCACTATTTTTTTCCCCTTTATCTTCTTCAAGTAATTTGCATGTGGAATTTTCTATTAGTGTATATATGCTTGCTATTCCAAAAAATTGAGCTAAATAAAGAAGAAAAGTTTAAAATCTTTTTTCTGTCTAACATTTGATTACAAATTTAATGAATATTTTATTTTAATTCTTTTTTAAAAATTGTTCTGTATTTTATTATCTAAATTGCTCCTTTGACTTGCACTGTTTTTCAGAATGCGGATTCTTGAAGAAATTTAGATGGTAATGTAAAGTTCTGATTTTTAATTTAGGTGATGTGTGATTTATAAATTTAATCATAAAATGTTATATATTTATTTTTAGAGAAGTCTGCTTCAAACATGTTGTTGATATTATAATTTTAATCTGATTGGTATTATGGTATTGACATCCAAAAATATGTCTGTCCTCTGCTTGCTGATTTATTTCTTTGCTGTGTAAAAGTTTATGAAACATGAGCCCTCAATGCATCATTATAAAGTTAATAATATGAATATTATATATATTCATGACTACATACATTACCTGAATTAAAAAATTATATATTAATTTAATATTACATGAACTAAGAAGAAATAGATGATTTGTGATGAATAAAATCATAATTCATGGACTAATTTTAAATTATCTATGTGGCTAAATTTTAATTTGTGTATGAATTTTAGGAACTGAAGTCATTATTTTAATCCATGAAATAAGGAATTGCAAGTTTAGAAATGAAGTGATTATTTTAATCTATGAAATAAGGAATTGCAAGGTTTTCCATTGCACTCTAAGGTTGGCATCAATAATTAATGTTTGTGCATATTACATTTGTGTCTATTCGTTGAAGAATTATTTTTTGCTTTTTAAAAATTTTATTATAGTTATTTATCTAATTTATTAAAAATTTATCATCATATGTTTAATTTTTTTAAATTTAGGAATATTGTATTTTGTTGGTTTCTTATACATTTTTAATACTTTTACATAAAAAAAAATATTAAACATTTGATGTCTTCATAGTTTGTTTAAAATTTATTTTAGTATGCTTAGTGTTCTCTAAGCAAACAGGTTAACTTTTTGTTGCACATAAGATGTTATGTTTTATTTAATTTGTTACTGTGTTTTTATAGTTAATTTATCATATTTTACCTCCTTTTGTATATTATAGTTCTTTTAAAACTCTTCTTTATAAAAAAATATTTGTAATAAATAAATTTTTATTCATTTAAAAAATGAATAAAAGTATTTATTAAAAACTTTTTGTAATAAATACTTTTATTTGTTTTTCTAAGTAGACTAGTTACAGAAGCTGTTATCTAGTTAGAGGTTTCAGAACATGAAATTGTAAATATTTCTTTCTGTTACTACTTAATTTAATGTAAGGAAAGAATATGGAATAATTTTTCTATAGTTAGTTGATCTGATTTCTTCTGAAAAATCCAAGATTAAAGTAATGAAATATTTTAATTAAATATCACATTTTAAAATATTTGACTATAGAATTTTGATTTATTTATTCTACAGCTTTATTATGTGCCAATTTTTGCCTTTTCATCTTCTATATTTAATAATTAAATTTTTAAGTATGTTTGTTGGCTATATGTTATTATTATTCAAGGTAAAATTCTGTAAATGGTGAATTAAAAAAAAAAATTCTGTACTCTGTGTTAAATTTCATTTTTTTAATAGTATAACAGCTAGGACAGGATTATATGTGTCAAAAATGATACTAAGTATCCACTATAAAAAATAATTGTGAGATTTAAATATATCTTGCCTGTCATAGAATTGTATTTTATTTATTAACTTATGTATGCTATGTTATGAACTGCTCTTAATTACATACGTATTCATTTTGAAAGGTAATCACAATTTCAAAGAAAATGATTATATAATTAGTACCATATTTTTATTTCTATTAATTTGTTTTAATTTTATTCTGAATTGTATTGTTTATTTTAAATTCTGTGCTAAATTTAATTTGCAAATTATAAATTAAAGAATTATGAATTTTGGTACCTTTCTGATTATCCGCACCCATATGAAAAGTTAGGAACTCATGGTGAGTGTGACTTAATGAAAACCATATGTTTGGTTATCTGTATAGCTTATAAATATTGGTAAAATATTGTAAATGATAACAAAAAGAAGCATTTTGTAAAGGGGAAAAAAAATACATAGCCAATACTATTTACATTTTTACAGCTATTTAGTGGAATAATGGTTAAATTTAAAGGGTGTAATAAGTACTTAATCATACGTGCATGTACATGGTGGCTATTATTTCAGGTACACACGAAATTAAGCTAAAAATTTGGTAATTTTATCAAGTATTGGAACTGGGATTGCAGATAATCAGAAATTACCTTATCTTTCTTTTAATTAATTTTTTTTTTTTTTTTTTTTTTTTTTTTTTTTTTTTTTTTTTTTTATTCAGACTTTTTTTCCTCTAGCATACTAATCATAAATTTAAAAAAAAAAGTAAGATTTATTCATCATGATACTATTCAATTTTTTGATTTTTAAAAGATACACAGTAAAGAATCCAAAATTCGGATGTCCAATATTCAGAATGATTTAGTATCTAGACCTTCAGGAGGGGGATTCTGGCAGAGTCTAGGAATGGAGAATATAATATACTCAGGTAAAAAGCTAGTGTGCCATAGAACTGATTTTTTCCACCTCACTAATTCCTATTTTTATCCTATTTTACACTATTTATTTATCCTATTTTAAACACTTGCTGGCTAGGTGATCAGACCATGGCCAATGACAGTATGTCAGTTGACACTGTATTGAAGTAAACCGCTTTTGATGTTTAAGTGGTTTTTGGAGGGGAGGACAGAATTTTTGTATCTGACCTAAATAATGAGAGAAGCTTCACACCATATTTATTTGGATTGGGATGTTGTTTATAATGCTGCTTTTCTTTTGTTAGTGTAACAGCAGCAAAGGGACAAAGTATTAGATTCAGAGGGACTTGAGGGTTCAGTTAACATAGCAAATTTACTCTTCCTTATTTTTTTTATTTGAAGCAGCTTATTATTTTGTTTTATCTGTTATCATCTGATTTGAAGCAGCATATTATGTTGTTCTGTCTGTTATCATCTGTTTTGAAGCAGCATATTATGTTGTTCTGTCTGTTATTATCTGTCTTCTCATAATAATTACAGTTTTATAATAAATAATAATGTCTCCATTTTATTCTTTCTCTGAAATTGTTGTTCATTTAATCAGCCTACAGATATTGGCATTTTGTGCACACTGAAGTGCAGATATAAAGTTGATTTTTAAAAACCGATGTAGTATCAGGACCATTTAAGAAAAATCAGATGTGTGGGACATTGCAGGATCATTAGAGAACATGTCTACACATATATGTTTAAGAATGCTTGGCATAATATATTGCCAGTTACCAAATTTCATGGCAATGATGAAAGTTGTGAATCTGATGCATTTCATATATCACAAGTGAAAACAAAAATGTTCTGGATTAATGGAACATAAAAAGAAATACTAAATGAAGATGATATGCTTGGACTCGGTACTGTTCTGTTATCAGAACCGAATTGAGAAATGTATGTATGTACATATATGTATATATATATATACATACATACATTCATATGCACATATATATATACATGCATGCATACATATGAACATATATACATGAATTAGGTCCTGATAACAGAATAGTACCTTGAGGTCTTACATTGTGATGATAGTGTCTCAATCATCAATCAGTTAACAGAAGAGCAAATATCTGTAGTATGGTTATAAATCCAGAAAATACTGTAATTTTGTCTTTGAGTCACATTTTAATTTCTAGTGTTGGTGTTCAGAAAAAAATATTTCTTTATGTAAAATACCTCTTTGTTAAAGAAATATTAATAATGAATACTTTTAATTTCAGAATTTCTATATATCATTTTATTAGATTTAAACTTATGATCTAAAATCTGGAAATTTCGAAAATCATCAAAGTTCAGACAGTTCCAGATCACGGACTTTGTACTGTAGTCATGCTATCTGTCAGAATTATTGATTGCTTAATATGAGTTATGAGTGCATCTTTTGGAAGATTACAAACATTACATTGATAAAATCATATCTAATTACTTACTATTCATATAAGGGAGTTGGAGTTTTTAAAAATGTCTTGAGTTTATTTTTTCTTGGAAAGATCATTCCCCCCTTTAACTGACATTTTAAAGAGACATAATTATGAAATTGAATTTAAATTCAGTTTTGTTCTAAATTATATTGAACTATATAAAATATTGCAAATAATAATTGAGCAAAATAACTTGCTCATTCTTGACTTGGACTTGACTAAGATTGTAGCAGCATTTAATAAAAATAGTGTCTAATAGATCTAGTTTAAAGCATTTTACTGAACTCGAAGAAATAAATATATGTTAGGTGCTTTTGTCTGTTTGAGAATGCATTCTGTCTTATTGAATTTTCAAAATCTTATACTTTTTAATTATTTGTAGAACTTTCTTTGATCAATTATAATAATATTTCTTTATATTTTATAGCTCAAAAATTAATTTCTTGAAATTAATACTAAACTTTTATTTTGCTTAATTATACACTTAGTTTAATACATCTGTAATGAAATATGCTATTTATTCATTAAGCCAAGTATTTATGATATCATCAACCAAGCAAAATCATACACTAACTACATAAATCCTTTCCTATTTTCAGAAGCACTTGCTGTAAATTCAAAAATAAATTCATTTTCCTCTTTTCTGTCTTTGCTGCATTATATGAGAAGCACATCTGTAGCTACATTTATGTAAGGTTATTATAATTATAATATATAGCATTTGGTTATATATAATTATACAGCATTTGGTCATACTATTTGTTTTGATAATTGTATGTGTAGAGTACATGGTCTATTTTGTGCCATCCAAAAAGTTCTGTAGATTTTTTTATGAAAAGCACAAATAAAGTAGTACAAAAATATAAGAAAACGTCATTGAATCACATAAATACCATTTTATTCTATGACTTTTCCCCATCTTACTAGCAGCAGAAAAATTCCTTTTTTAAAAAAAAGTGTTTATGTTTATTCATAAAGAACTTATGAAGATGCTTTTTGGCAGTTTTCAAAGAAAGGAACTCTAGATGATTCAGAGAATTATGAAATGACACGAAGAGATGAAAATGCACGAGGCAACATCTAGTGAATATTGAGGGAGGGACACAGAGCATATCAGCTATACTCAATAAGTCTTTATCTGACATTCATTGAAATGTGAGGCCAAGCATTGTAATGGGAGATAATGCCTAGACTATTGATCAGTTCAAACTGCTTTGCTTTAATTGCTTTTGAAATTGCCATCTGTGAACAGTATTTTTCTAAATTTATTGCCTAATTTAAAACAATTTATTGTAATCCTTTGTACTACAGTTCCTGTGCAGCCCCATCATACATCAAGCTTAGATTTTTGGGATGCAGCACCCCCTCTCTATGTTACTAAGGCAGGATCTTTTGGCTAATCCTGTCATCTTGTAACATTGCATAGTGTCCTTTTCTCCTTTCTAATAATGAATCATTTCATGAACAGGAGGTGCTTTTTCTTCATGGCAAAGAATCACGTGTTGAAACTTAAGCCAGTATATTCTGCTCAGTTGAAGTGTTGAGTTGTAGCAGTTTACACATCCAGGCTTCTTCAAATGATCATGCACTGTATACTTTGGAATATTTAGTCTGCTTGATAGCTCCCGAACTGTATAATATGGATTTTCAGTGATAGTTTTCTTTAATAGGTACTTTATTTACAGAGTATAATTATTCAAAGCGA